TTGCAAGGATCATGACAGTACATTCAATAAGTAAAATTACTCTGCAATTACTACTAAGTACACATACAGTGTTAGCTGATATTTTGTTCAGTGTTTGTACTGTAGCAGATCTGGTTGTACAATTTTGTTTTGTGGACAGAGCAAGCAGACACCTGCATTCACCTTAAATTTTTATGTATCTAGGTAGGGATTTTATTTACATAAGAAAATCCATTTTGTTATAGATTGAGACATTGAAAATAATAGGATATCAGCTTATACTGCTTCTGTGGTAGCTGACCGCATAACGTACTACTGAGCAAAGAGATGGATGTAAGTTTATTAGGGAAACAGTAGTTTGGAGATGGAAAAGTACATTGTTCTACTACTTTCATCAAACAGATTTAAAATATTTTTTTCAATATTTTTTCTATTTAGAGCAAATCATTCATGTTCACGAAACTTAATAATGAGAACAGTATAGGAGTAGAACAGAAAAAGTGTTGAAGTCTTGCCATAGTTCTCCTGAAATCTGTTTCACAGCTTCATTACTTTCAGTTCTATTTCTTGGTTCCATTTTATTCTCTAGCTTCCCTCAATTTGCCCCTTAACTTGAGGTATTTAATACAGACTAAATGGTTTTCTTTCTCCGTATTTTGATTTTATACATACTCATTATTACTGTAAAATCCTGTAATCATAGTTATTGGGGGAAAAAAAAATATACTGGTGTTAAAATCTGTGTTTCAGATTTCAAAATAGTATTGAGGTTCACTCAAGTTTTCTGAATTTTTTTGAGCTTAAGTAGCCTAGAAGGAGGCTGTAGTACACCCTATAATCAGTAATTTCAGCCTAGATTTTTCTTAATTTCTCAAGTAGTCGTAATTTCAGAACTTATGAAAAGAGAAATTGTACTTCTGAAGCTCCTCAATAGAGAAGATTCCCAGTCAGGTCACTATGTCTGATATAACACTCACCCGCATTATGTAGAAAGTGAAGCCTATACATCCACTGCATTTTCATCCATCTCTGGGCCTTCATGGGTGTTCAGCCCACAGTGATCACATTTAGAAACCTTCAGGCAATTAGCAGTCTTCCCAAGGTGAATTTCTCTCTGTAATGTAATATTTTTTGTTCTAAGTAGGGTACACTGAATTTCACCTTTCACCTTCTAAGACGAAAATGAGACTTGGAGGAAGGGGATATTCTATCAAAATGATGACTGCAAAGTGCTCTTTCCCAGCTGTCTTTCTTCCTACTTAGCAAGTTGCAATTCCAGTATCTGAAAGCCAAGTCTGTTTGAACAGTGGATGGAAAGCATAGTAGGCATGTTAAACTTAAGTTATTAGATTCTGGCTATGCTTCATTTTCTGGAAATTAATTTTTTATTACAGGCAGAAATACATGAAATGTCTTCCCCATAATATGGTCCTTATAATCAACAAATTAATATGCTACAGAAGAGCAGTACTTCCCTGCCAAAGTTAAATTTTTGAATCCTTTGATCAGATTCATATTTTGTTCTTCAGAAGACAGTAGACTTTTTAAGCAAGGTTTAGATTAATGTTCAGTTCTTTTAGATTGCCTGAGGTTCTGAGGTGTTATAACCCTGCTGAAACCATAGCTAATTAACCACTTCCACTGCTAAATATGTAGTTGATTTTCATCTCTACTAACCTGTAACAGGTAAACATGATATATGTAACAAAGTTTGGTATTTTTGAAGACTATTTTGTTCAGTTGCAAACAACGTGCCCTCACAATTCCTGTTACCTAAAAGCTTACACAAGTAGACAAATATATAGTTATGTGCTGCAAATACTTCATTAATGACACAGAGAAAGGATTTCCTGTAGAACAGATGGCCCTTGTAGTGTTAACCAAACTGCTCATCTAAACCAGCATTGTCTGGAACCTAATGCCCTCAGGCAAGGGTCCGACCCAGTTGTGGAGAGGCACCATGCAATGATGACAGATGGTCATGTGTTGAGGCAGTCCAAAGACCATGCAAATGTACCATGGGTGGCTGTTGAAAGCTCAGGTTCTCAGTGGAGATTATTCAGGAGGCTTATGGATGGGGTGTCCTAATCTGAGCAACATTAATCTAACATGGGAACTTAAATCAGATGGAAAGAAGTAAGCAACAGTTTCTCAGCCCTTCAGCAGTGTTTCATTGGATAGATCAATAGGGGGCAGAAATTTGTTTCATTAGCTTCAATCTGCTTAAAGAGTGTATAACATTTAGTCAATCACTCTGCACTAGACTGAGAGACTGACAAAAATAAGCACCTAGAATGATACAATCCTAATTTTGAGAAGCAAAAATGAAAATGAACTAATATCTCAAATGATGGGAAAAGGCAAAAAACCATTTACTGTTTATATCAATTTCATATTTAATTCTGAATAAAATCTTGATTTGCCTGTCTGAGGTTTTAAAACTGAAAGACAACATACCATAAATAGCAAAGATTTTTTGTTACTAAAAGTTTAAGATTTATTCTGTATTAAGAATGTGCTTCTGTGATCTGGAGATGCTCTTGAAACGGTACAGGAGTTTCACTCACCTCCAAAAGTTGATCTTTTATCCAGTTTATGGTTGCTTTTGCAAAGATATTTGTTCTTCTTTTCAGACATGAAGTGCATCATTTTGAGAGATGTACTTGATGACAGAGATTCAAGAAGATCAGCTTCTTTTTTTTATTTTCAGTAGAAACATTACAAACTTTAATCCCTACAGGGATTAAAGTTAACTATTTTTTAATCCTTTTTTTTTCCCCCCCACATAAGCTCTTAAATGAAGAACAGGTACAAGTCTCATTTTCTTTTTGACTGCCATCCTGAACTAGAGTTCAGAACAGCTACTGCTTCCTCAGGGGACCATTCCAAGAGCTACGGATCTTCAAACTATGGAAAGTCTTTAAATGTGGTCTTTTCTACCCTAACCTGACCCAGCAGTCAGAGAGCAGATCAGTCAAGGTTACACCCTATTAGCCTTCTATTTCAAGCATCTGTAATTCTTAAGAAGAATCAGCTGGAAATGAAATCCGAGGAGTTCTGAGCTGCTTTGCACCATTAAGCACATGGTTTGATATTTTGTGTACAGTTATATTGGGCCTAATTCTGTTTTTACAGCTCTGCATTTACCTAGGTGTATTGCTATTGAAATCTGGAGTGTTATCAGTGAAAATCAGTGTTGGAAGATGAATTTGGTCATGCGATTTTTTTTTTGAAGTCTTTTAATAATAATTGATAATTATTTTGCAATTTATTTAATTTGATTTTTAGTAGTCAGTAAAATGGCTTTTCTTTATTTAAAAGTCTTGGTACTGCCAAGTATCTGCAATACTATCTGTTCTTTAACTCTGATGTTTGCACCTCTGAACTAGCCACACAGCCACCAGCATGTGTATTTGAGGGAAAATAGAATGCATCTGCAGCTGAAAAAACAAAATGATGACTTGATGTAGAAAGGGCAAGGGTTTAATACAGAACACTACTGACAGCTTGAAATCTCTGTTCGAACAGATGAGTGTATAAGGTACCAGATTCATGTCCAGTGTGCCTGAAGAGAACTGTGGAAATACAATAGGGATTGAATGTTTCTCTTGGAGGAGGAAATACATATTTAGATGAAGTGTGTGGAAGTAGGAAATGACTGAGGCTTCATATCTTTATTGTTGGGTTTTTTTTTCCATTTGATTTTTTATTTTCTCTGTGTAGTGTAGGCTATAACTTACAGTTGGAGAAAGTAATACATATGGCATCTTGCTGAGAGAGAACAGTGTATTTGAGGTGGGTTAGCAGGTTACAGATTCCTGACATGTCATGCCCAATTAATAGCACTCCAATTTCATGAGGGATAAAAATATTATAGGATACTAAAGTTTTTCACGGCCATGGTCAGATTTCAGCACTGCAAGTAGAAGAAAAAGAAATTGCAGTGACTAATCTGCCAATGTAAGGTGAAACTGAAACAGTGCTGCCTGAGGAGAAAACAATTTCAAAGGGAACTTCTTATGGAAGAGAAATTGTAGAACCACTCAAGTTTGGAAAAAGCCTTCAAGATCATCAAGTCCAACCCTAACATGACCTCTCGAGTCCCATGACCTTTAGTGCCATGCGCTCATGTCTATTAAATACCTCAAGGGATAGGGACTTCGCCATTCCAATGTTTGATCACTCTTTCATTGAAAAGAATTCTTCCTAGTATCCAATCTAAGACTCCCATAGGACAACTTGAGATTTTTTCTTTGTGTCCTATTAGCTGTCTCACAAGAGAAGAAGCCAACACTCTCCTTGCTGCAACCTCCTTTCAAGTTCTTGCAGAGAGCAAGGAGGTTTCTCCTATGCATGCTCCATCAGCACCTGCATATGTCCTTCCATCCAGTTTTCCATGCTGGAAAAACAGCTTCCTTTCAAGTCTGTGCACCTGGCATTTCCTGCCCTTATACCTGGTGTGGGACTGTTTAGTGGCAGGTCATCCACACAGAATCAAAGATCAGGAGGTATCCCTGGGCCCAAAGAATAGACACAATTGTGCAAATCAGGTCTAGATCTGAGTCAAATTTTTTTTCTTATTTCTTTACTGTATACTTTCTACATACTGCTGGTTTTGTTTGGGGAATTTACAGTGATCAGTCTCGAGTCCTCTTAAATTTAAGGCAATGGTAATTTTCCCACTGATAGCATTAAGATGAGGTTCAGACACATATACAGCACTAAGGTGAGGTTCAGACACATAAGACTAGGACAAGTGCATCTAATTGTCCACCGTGCTCCTTTTGTTACAATTGCCAAAACATTGCCTAACTGCCACCATTCTTAGAAACAAAGGAAAAGATGAACCGACTTTGAACTGCTGGCTTAGGCTGCATAATCTTTCAATTGTTAGCAGAGTACTGGAAATATTTAATAGACCAAAATAGGAGAACTTGACACAGGAATACCACTGCATATGAGCAAAACCTGTATTTGTTTTTGCAAGATGATTAAGAAAATAATGTTTTACTTACTTTTAGATAACAAATGTAGCTGCTGAAAGTTCCCTGACTGCTGAAAATAGAAAACCAATGTGAAGGTCAAGAGAGGCAAACCATAGCAAGGTAGTGGTCAATATTTCTAAGATGTGCTTTGAAGACACTTGAGAAGCCCCTACACAATTTTAACCACTTCTTTTTCTATTTTTTCCCCTCCATAGAAAGAAAGCTGAGCAAAGTAATGCAACATGGAAAAAGAAATTCCAGATTGTACAAAACAGGTATAGTATTATAATAACTTTGGTTGCATTAATAAAATACTGAAAGTCAGACTTTGCAAATCAGTTCTTCAAGATAAAACCCTAGGGCTGCTCTGGTTCTTGTGTGTGCTCCAGAGGCAGCACAGATCAGATGGCATTAGGTTTAGCTCCCTCTGCACTATGCAGTCCTCTGCTGCTATCTCTAGAAACCTTGAATTTTCAAACACTCATAACTTTAGTCTGCATCTTAGAATGAGCAACATACATATTTGGTGTCATGCTGTAAAAACACCATTCTCGTAGGCCATGATATCTCCAAGATAGCTTTTAGGTAGAAAGCATCAGATCAAGAATATCTAAAAATCCATTACAGTAGAATATAGAATCACCGAATCATTAAGATTGGAAAAGATCATCTAGTCCAACCCCAACCCACCCCCACCATGCCCACTAACCATGTCCCTCTGCTCCACACCTACATGGTTCTTCAACACCTCCAGGGACCGACTGTTTTCTGAGAATTTCTAGAGAGTTTCAAATCCAGCTGGGCTGGAACCATATTTTAGAAAGACAAACTCCCCTCCAACCGCACACTCTACTGTACTTCAGATGGTTATTTTACTTTTTATCTCCCCAACACCTCTCAACAGTGTGAGAATGGTGTAATTCCCATCCTACAAATGGTGAACTGTAATGAAAGTACATCCATTCACAGCAAACATTTTGTGCTTATACAGTTTGATACAATATCCCTAAGGTCAGTGGAGAGCTTCTTGTTAAGTTTGTTATTCATTGAGATTGGCCTCAAGTTATCCTCTCATCTGAAAATTGTGGGAATACATTATGTTGATACAGTGATAACATAATGACAGTCTTATCAGTGTTCTTAGCAATCATGCAAGACTCAGTAGAAAAATAAAATTGTATCATTGTTATCTACTCAGCTCTATCTTAATGAGTATTTACTGTGTTACCTGAATGGACTGGAGCATTTTTAACGGAGAACATTAGAATTAGTTGCTGAAGAAAGAGATTAATTTCTAATTTTATATGCAGCAAAGAACTCTCACATCATGGAAACGGATTAATTTAGATAAAAAGGCAATTAATGATAAGATACAAATAGTCCATAGGAAGGAAAATCATTATCTCTTGCTTCTTTTTTCTTCCTGACAGTGTATTAAAGGACTGTGCAATTTATTTTTACAATACAGTAGGATTACCTGGTCAGCATATTTACCTTGAATTTTATGCTGTACATTGCTATAAATTATTATTCTATTATGTGCATAGTTTAAAATTTTAACTATAAAATATATGAGCCCCCTTGTGATCAGAAAAACTTCAGTGTGTTTACGAATGTCATCAAAGACTGCAGTCTGGTGGATGAAATGCCTGAAAAATATCTAGAGGGCATTGAATGCAGGTTGCTCCAAAAGTAATGCCTCCTGTTTATTTTCAATGAAATGACAACTGATACAAAGAGCCCAATAATAACATTTGATAGAGCAAATTCACACCTACAAAATATTCTTTTTCAACACAGACGCCACCACTGGCTATGCGTTTCCTCCAGCAAAGAAAAAGAGCCTGCATTCTATGTTTGTAAAAATCTGCATGAGTGGAGACAGCCCTCTGTCACTGTCTCCACTACTGAATCACACCACCCACCTCCTCACTGCTTCTCCAGAAGCATTCAACAAGCATTGATGAATATCAGTGGGTGCCATTTTATCCACATGGAGCAATTCAGTTACACTCCTTTACTTCCTATGCTATATAATCAAAGAATATTAGGCTGTTATAATTACAAAATAAACAAGAGAGCTAGGCAAAGTAGACTATGATAACAAAAGAGAATAAATGGAAGGCTTACCCTTATGCTAGGCTCACCCACAAAACACCAGTAGAGGCCATCTCCAGAAAAGATCCTTCCCTACTGGTAGCCAGCTCTTAAATAGGTCTAGGAGGAGCCAGGCTCCACCCTTCCGGCAGCACAGGAGAATTGCCTTCACCTGTGCTCCTCTGGCTGACTCAGTGCTCGCCTCAGGTGATCAATCAGAGGTTCAGGCCGTGACTCAGCAGTTCCCACACATATGCTCTCGCATGTCATATGCCAGTCAGACTGCCCCTCTGATGCCATCCCTCACACAGCAGCAAAATGTACCAGAATATTGGCAGGAAGGTTCAAGCCCTACTGCCGTACCACCAACACCTGCCTCTGACAGTGTGGCCAACACAATAAAACAGGAAGCACTGTTTTTGGAGGAGCTTTCATGTGTCTGATTGCTCCTTCTAATGACAGTTCTCTTTCATTTTTCATAAAAATTAAATCCATTTAAGTGTTCCTTTACTTCTTTCTTAATTTGCTATTTGCCGCTAAAAGATCTGTGAAGTTCTTATCTTGTAACCACACACAAACAGGGCACAGAAATCAAACTTTATCATCTCTGCCCACTCAAGTATAACAGCTGTGACAGGTGCTAGTTAATGTGAAATGGTTTTTTTTTGTTTTTCCTTTGTTTTTTGGTTTTTTTTTATACAGACTTTTTTTTACTTTAAAATCTTTGTGTCAAAGACTTGAGTCACATCAAGCCATGTTGTCTTCTAGTATTACAAACTGCAACTGAGCTCTGGTTATTTTGTGGCACAAGAGACTATTTAAACGCCAGTTATCAAACTTTCATGGCAAATACAGGAAAAATAATCCAAACCATCCAAACTATTACCCTTACTTAAGAAAACAAACTTACCACCTGGAACAATTTTCATCTTATTTTTTTCCCTTTGCTTACCTTATTTTAGAAGTTCAGTTTCAGTATTGTAATACCTTTCTTTGTTCAGAAAGAGGAAAAAAAAACATACAGCTGTTCAAATTACCTCATGAGCCGGACCTTGAGAAATTAGGTAGCAATTTTCAATGATTAGATAAAGTATCAGCACTCAGAGGTTAAAGATACAGTAAATTTACAGACAGAAAAAATGACAGTATTTAGAATTCCAGTTCTGTTTCTATTCCTCACAGATTTTTCCACTGCATAGGATCTGTTACTGTACTCATGTATTTAATATACTATACTTAATATAATATATTAATGGCATTTTAATGTCTATGGATTACTGAATTCTTACTGGTTATTGCTCTACTTTTGCTGATCAATAGTGTTTACCTAAGTATTTCCCCTGTAAAAGATACGAAAAGTAAATTTTCTCTAACTGGCAATTTTAAACTTTAATGTTATGTATGGTATTGTTCAGAATGGCAGCATAATATAAGTTCATTCAATATGAGATTTTTTTCAGTCTGCATGCAATTAAGGACGAGATGTTTCTTAGACAAACACTGCAACGCCAGTTTCTAGCATTTAGATATATATTTGCTGGTGAAACAGTAAGCAGAGACGCAGCAACTGGACTGTTTTTTTAACTGTTAATGTTTTTATTGGAAGTCATGCTGAGCTTTCTAATGTAACAAGTCAGAGAAGCCAGCCTATAGCATAAAGTCAAACAAATTTGATAGCGAAAATTGTGAAATGGTAAATCCAACAAAGGCAGATTGTCAAGGCCGGATATGCTCAGCTGCACACAGCACAATCTTGTGTATGTAGCATGTGTACAAATATCACACATGGTAGAGCCTTAATTACAGCTTTTGCAGACTCCAGATTTGAACTAAAACTACAGACTTCCCCTTGCTTCACCTGACAGAAAGTAGAGGGATCAGGAACTATAAGACTTAGTGTATTTCTTGCTCTGAGGGCTGCTCACATTGTATGTCTTAACGCAGCAGGGAGTGCAGCCCCTAAAAACTATCCATCTTCCTCCTATGCAAGTGTGTGCAAACATCAAGAGTGGCATTTTGACCTTTTTTCTGGATAAGGTTAGTAGGGTGAAGTATGTCCTAGATTAAGATACAGGACTTGCACAGACTTGTTACTTCAGTTACTTCCACTGATTTTTTTCCTGATAAAGGAAGTATATCTGAAATATTCATACATATACAGGATATTAATATATCAACTTTAGTCTCAAATATATTCAACTCTTCTTGTAAAAAATGGACAATTCAGGAACAGATAAGTTAAAACATTTCCTTCTGATTTATAAAAGATTATGCATTGCAAATCCATATTCAATAAGTGTCCAAAAAATGTTGCATCCTTTTCAAAATCTTTCATTAATGTTGATTTCTTGCTTATCAGCTCATATGCTTAAACAACACTGTCTTAAAATGTGTTTAATATATGTCTGGTCTGTCATTTACAGATGGTTTGCCCTATTTGTATTGAAAATGACATAAAAGGCACAGACAGATTCAAAGATGGCTCACATTTACCTTCAACTTTGGTAAGCGTTTTTCTTTTTCAGAACATAAAAGCTCAGATGTGCTCAGCAGTAAATAGGGGTAGCATTTCTGACAATTCTGTGAAGCACAAGACTGTGACATATCCAGGAATCAACATTCATCATTTTCATAATGGACAGTTGTCTCAGTGAAAGAATTTCTCAATGTGAGACAATGATTTGTTGCTGAGACAGAGATATTTTTCTTTACAACATGAATTGTGATTATTTAAATGCATTTCGTGATTGAAATATTTTACATATTCATATCTTCCAAATGTTGGTTGCCACGTGCATGCAGTAACAAACATTTGGGTAAAGCAATCCACATTCAGTTTTAAAGCTAATGTAACTTGAAATAATAAATAGATGTTTGTGGCTGCAACTGTAACTATCTGACTATGAACCAAAATAGTATTTCTCTGTGAGTAACAAGGCTGATATAAGCTTGATTCATCTAGTACTAAAATAAATGGGAAGACCAGAGTGAGAAATGAAATGGCATTCTAAAGTTCTGAATAGCACGGTTGCCTAAAACAATAACATTTCATTTTGTCTTTTAAGCCTAATGCCTCAGGCTCAGTGAATGGATTATCAGACTCTTTCAGGGGAGGGATCCAAGTTATAGCAGACTAATAGCTTCTCATGATCTTCAACAAGAAAATATTTCTCATCTAGCCCCCATTATATTCCCAGTCTACTGGAAAGCAGAAAGAAGACGCAGGTGAATTTCCTAGGCTTCTAAACACACCAAAAATGGCCAGTGTTTGAAGATGGTGCTTTTGAAATCTTTGATGCAACGTAGCCTATTCTGCAATTTAAGTATTTGTTTCTAACTCTTTAATATATACTTGAACATAATTGTATTTCTCCAGATACATTTTCCTGCAAACCTTCAAGTACATAGAGCTTTTGGGGTCTCCTTCTTTGGAGATACGCAAAACCTGCCTGGATGCTTTCCTGTGCAATTTACTCTAGGGAATCTGTGTTAGATGGGGTGTTGGAGTAGATGATCTCCAGAGGTCCCTTCCAGCATAGTTCTGTGTGACTGTGAATAGTCCTCTCTTCCCACGAGAAAAGAGATGAACGTAATGCCATTTCAGTGCTGAATTCCAATATCACCACTAAACTGTATTTGAAGAACATTATGAGATATTTACCTTTTCTTTTAGCATCTATCAAAAATACACTACAACAACAAAGATGCATGAGTATAATACTAAACCCTCTTCTTTTCAGTATCTCTACTATTAAATAATTTTAAAAATGTAATTGCAATTAAGCACGATATTGTTCACTCTATCTCTTAGGAATGTTAGTTTATGGTTTATTTTAAAAGCAGGATTGTTCTGAGGGCTTCTTGTTTATTTGATATGTGGTATAACAATTTATTTACCAATACCTTATGGTTCCTTCTCTGGCAAGATACTGAGCATCAATACCAATATGCGGATAGCAGTGTTTAATTCAAGTGGCTGTGCTTATGTCTAGAACAAACTACACATATCTAAATGATTTGTTGTAATTTTCATATGTATTTCTGACTACGTAAATATAGAGAATTGCTACCTTTTCTACATTTTTATCTGTAAATGTGTGAACATCATTTAAACATTTCCCCTTGGTTTAGTTATACACTCCGGCATACAAGTTTTTACTTTGAACATTGCTGTACTCCTTGTATTCTGTTTATGTAGCTCTTCTTCAGCTATTCTGATTCCGTACATACAAACTGTTTTTATTTTGGGATGAGTTAGAGGTATCACAAGTGTGGAGATCATTCTGATAGCCTTGATCCCTTGGACAGTCCTAATTCTGGAAACATTTAGTTGCCTCTACTGTTTTGCAATTAGCATTGGCTGTTTTGTGATCAGTCAATAACAGTGATAAGGGCAACCACAAAGAATATACTGTATATCACAGTATTTTGTGAACAATCAGATTTTTCCTTCTTCCTGTTGGCTGTTTGCTGAAACTATGAAAAGAGAGCTAAGTTAGTCTGTATGCTTTTGGAGCATTAACTCAGTGTCAGTTCCTCCACATGTGGAAGGCTACATTCAAAAGGACTCAGATCTATTACATTCTTGCTGGAGAGGACTGCCCAGTATACAAGTGGAGGATTCTTTGGGATTTGAGGCAAAAAGTTCTTTAATAGCAAATTTACACTTATCTCAAAAACACAAATATCTTATTCAAGATACAAGAACAGAGGACTTGCAGGAATCCTCTAATATATATATTTTAAGCAAGTAGGGATGTTTTGGATGTTTGAGTGTTTATGGGTCTTCTAGTTCCACATGAGAGACTGTGCATTCTTGATAAACAGATGAAAGTACAATAACTTCAGAGTCTGGATGCTTCACACAATGACATTAACACTAGTTACCTTTACTCTTTGAAGTCTATCTAACAAATGCATAACCCTTTTAAATACCTACCAAGCAGGAACTTGTCCAAACAGGCACTGTTATTAGCAGCTCTTGGTAATTGCCAGCGTTTTATGAGTTTGAACCAAATGTTTTATCATTCAAAATAAGAGCACCCTTATTATGCAAGTCTCTTCATAAATCACAGATAAAACACATTACATAGAACTATGTGAACTACATGAAGCTGTATTTGTTATATTCAACAGATGATACTAAGTACAATTGAACAGTTATGCAGTTAAACAATATACAAATAAATAGACTCGAAATTCAGGTTATAAACTATTATCTGTTTTTCTATTTTGTTTTTGTTATTGTTATTTTGCTCTTGTTTTGTTTTGTTTTGTTTTTAACTAAGGACTAAGATTAAAAACATTGCTGTGCTGTACTGCTTTTTCATACTGTTTGTTGATTGCTGGTAGAAGAAGCCACACAGTAATTCAGTTTGATTCTTTCAGCGCAAGAAGTGTGCAATCTTCTAGCAGTTTTGCCTACACAAAGTCCTTCTCTTAGTAGATCTCCCAGACAGATCTGTGCAAATACAGGCAGTTTGGATGTTTCTTTTGCGGCAAACTCTATCTATTGTCTGTCACTTTGCCCGAGAAGAATTGCTGCTAGCATTTTAACAAGTGTCGATCTTTGCGAAGAAGAGACACGCGAGAAATTGAACCCACGTCCCAGAGCGTTGCCAGCGCCCCTGGCCCTCAACTACCTGAGGCCGTTCCCTCCCCCCGCGCCGCGCTTCAGCACCACCGACAGCTCCATGCCCGCACACGGCCGCGCATCGGCGGCCCCGCCGTAGAAGCGCTGGCTGGGCGCAGCACCGGCCCCGGGGTGGCTTCCAGATCAGCCGTGGAAGCCGTGGCCTTGCTGTCCTTCTGTCCTTCCTTTCCAGCCGTCAGCCCGCCTCTCAACCCTGATGAGTGCCTGTTATCAGAGACCCGTCTGCGCACAGCCAGGGGATAGTGTCTCTGATGTAATTTTGTCGGAAGGTAGAATGGCATTCCGCAAAGATTGTGTGAGTTCTAGCCAGTGGGAAGTTATTAAATGATTTTAGCTACCTTTTGTTATTGTTGTTGTTTTAAAAGTACGTGATAAACATGAATTTAAGTGTGTGACAGGATTGCTTAAATGTCCTTCTTAGGCCTGTACCTCACTGATTTCTTGGCTATTCCTCTTAAAGGCACGTGCTCGAACAACTCCCTGGGTGCGAGCAAGTGGGCCTTTCACAGACAGCAGTGGCACCCGTGAAGAATTCAGACTGCTCTTGAATAGCTTTCCACTACCAACTTCCAGGTATGCACGTGAATATTTTGGAAATGCTTATGCTTCTTTTTTTTTTTTTTTTTTTTTTTTTTTTTTTTTTTTCTTCCAAAACTTAGAGATGATACAACTCAGTTCTTGCAGAAGTTTAAAACAACGTTATTCAAATGAATAAATGACTTTTTAAAGTTTGGTACCATTCATCCAGCTGTGCACTTCAGCCTACTCATGCATAAGTGCCCTCTACTATGGATTGGGTGGGTTGGATACTGTGGGTTGGAGCTGAGGTTTTGTCTAGTTTTTGTTTTAATCTCTATTTAATGTACAAGCACAGATGAAAGAATACTGGCAGTGTATATATTTAAGTATTAACAAGATGTGCGTATAACTCCAATGCATTAGGGCATAAAACATTAGAAGTCCACACCTAAAGGCACTTCTTAACAACTCAAACCTGCTCAGGGCCCAGGATCCTTCAGAGTGTTTTAATGAACTGAATGAGCCCCAGTGAGGTCAGTCATCCCTTTAGAGGATGACCCAAAAACGTAGCTATAGAGTCATCCCATCCAGGCCCTCTGCATTGCAGCTGGACTGATAATTAGTGTTGGTGCTTTGTGTAAGAAACTCAAAATACCTGTAAACCGTTGTTCAATTAAACTGTTTACTAAATTTGCCATTAAGAACGGGTGATAACTAAAGATCAGCCTTTGGGAATGACAAAAGGAAGTGCACAACACTGGAAGGCGAAGTTTTGCCACAGTGTTTACTCCCATTACTCTTGTTTGAAGATGATAAAACTGAACACCTACAAACATCTATGCTTTCCATTGTACAGCGTCCACCGCTGTTGCTTTTTATGTACTCAGGGAGATTTTTCTCACAGTCTGGTGTTTGCATCTATTGACTTTGTAATCTGTAGACAGACTCTTAATGAGCAGAAAAGACAAGAACCGCGGAGATAAACCCTTAGAATAACAGTGAGCCTTTACAGCTTGTCAGCAAGAGAAAGCTCAAACATAAATATCTGGTTTACAGAAGTAACACAACTTATTTTGATAGATTACATTGTTTCTGTTTCAAATTACTCTGTCAAAAGGGGAAGAAAAGGTTAAAAGGTCATATTTTTTAAAATGCTTGAAAGGGCTCTTTCAAGGGTTTGGTTGGTTTTTGGTGTTTTTTCCACAAATACCAACCCTATGTTTAATCAATTATTCGTGGTGGTGCATAAGCTCTACTTCGCCTGCCTGTCAAAGGTGCTGATTTTGTTAAATTCAGTTCTAGAAGCCCCCTCAAATGGGCAGGAACAGGATCTAAAGACCCCAGAGGTGGGCTGCAGATCAGAGGCATTATTCCATGGTTTTCCTATTGAGAGAGGTTTTCTTTGCTGTTTTGAGTCCCTTTTCGAGAGTAGGGGACTTGTAAGCAGAAGGGAGTCAAAGTTTGTTTTTGTTGTTGTTGGAAAAAGCTTTAAACAACGAGTATCCATCCCGACAAGAGGTAATCGAAGACATCATATTCACACAGTTTAACACGCGTCAAAAGAACAGAAAAGATCCTCCTGGCCGCGCGGGGCCGAATCAGCTGTCTTGGCCATCAGCGCAGCATCCCCCGCGTGCCCGCACAACGCAGGCAAACCCCTCTGCTGCTCCCACACCTGGAGCCGGTGCACGGCAGACAGCGGGGCCGGCTGCGGCCGGGGCCCGACGGGGACGGGGTGAAGGCGCTGCGCGGGTCCCGGCGCCGCCGATGCGCGGTGCGCGGTACGGGCGGAGCGCGGGCACGGCCCTGCCCCGGGCGCTCGGTTCACCGGCAGCCGGGAGCCGGAATAAATCACAAAGGCACGTTTAACGTTAGTGACTCTTTAAATGGAATTTTTCATTCAAACTTTGTCATTAAAATAGAAAGGCCTTTTGGCCGTGACCATACGAGCATAATAAATCGTATATGTTTGCGATACTGAATGAATCTCGCCCATATGCTGCGCTGCAAGGCTACATGAATGAAGCATTTACCAAATCAGGCCCACCACATTAAACAGAAAAACAATCTTTATTCATGGTAACTTATCAGTTACAATTAATCAACCTCGACAATAGAAATTCTGATGTGTTCAAGCAACTTGAAAGCAATAGGTCATCTCCAGGGCAGCCATGTTGTGTCTTTGTGCCTATGGCTTCGAACAAAGCAACATCTCCGATAAATGTACATCCCCACACACATGTGTGCGCCTCCGTGGATAAATATCTCGGCACGCCG